AACAAATGAGGAAAAAAACTAGACTAATGCATTAAGAGTATTGAAATGTTTAATATTCCCACTAAATGTTTTTCTACTATACCTACCTTTTAACCCAAATGGTGCATATGGAAGAACTCTGGGGAATGGGTAGAACAGAGAGGTAAAACAGAGATAAATTGACTTCAAATCCAAGCATGTAACACAGAAGTAATCTCACTGGTCCAGGCTCAAGATCCTTTTACTGTCACTTAAATAGACCACCAGTCTGCCAAGAGTAACTTCTTAGCTTGCTACATGAAAATGAAGTCAAGGACAATCTCTTTTTCCTTTTATTTTTCTGCCTTGGTACTTGTCTATCTCCAGCAAAGAGAAGAGTGGAGCCAGCTTCACAAACTTAAAGACACCCGTGATACATCAAAGAATTAAATCCCATTTCGGAAAAGTGGTAGGAAGTAGATTACAAATGTGAGGAGCAGAGAGGTTTGGGAAAAATTCATAAAGGAATTAACATTTAATCCAGGCCTTCTATAATTACTAGGATTTTCCAAGGCAAAAAATGGTGTGGACAATGGTAAGTAGTCAGTGAGCCTGTAACACGGGCTTCACAGGGACATGTAGTGGATGGATGGTAACACCAAAAACAGATGGCAGATCATTTTTCTTTTTTTAATGTATGTAAAAATGTTTAATTGACAAAATTGTATATATCCAAGGCATGCAATGTAATGACTTGATATACACATGTACTGTGTGTTCATTAGCACAAATTAATTAACACATCCATCATCACCCTTATTATTTGTGTGTGTGTGTGTGTGTGTTGGAGGGTCCATGTGCACCTGCAGGTATGTGGGTATCTATAGAGCAAGTTGTTGGCACAGAATGAATTATATTTTGATTTTTGATGTATTCAAAATACGTCATTGACACATATCATCAATTTCTATGCATAGGAATCAGGAATTGAGACATTAGTTTGATCATTAAAGTATGTATTTGAATCATTAGGGTAAATACACATCTACTTTTTCATAGTTTTATTATGAGTCTCCTTATAAGGTAAATTCAACATTATAATTTATTTGGAAATAAATGGAAAATTTGGTGTTTTTTAGAAAAGTGAACACTCAAGATATCTTGTCAGAATAAACGCTTGTGCTTTTTTTTTTTAATAGTTTCCCTAACTGAAGAGTTAAAAAGATATCACTTACTTTCTGTTAGAATAAGGAAAGATATAATGATGTATTTCTTACAACTTGTACATGAGCCATAAAAGAAGGAGATGTGGGTGAAAATGAGGAAATGAGAAAATTAAAATTGGAAGCACTGTGGAGTGGTGGGAAGAGTAAGGTCCCTTCCCAAACTACTTTTGTTATGACTCTCTAGTGTCAGAGTTAAGAGAATGAACTTTAAAAAAAAATTCTGTCTCTGGAGAAACTGTCAAAAATTGCCAATGCTGACTAAGTTTCAAGTCATCATGGTAGGGTATTAGAAATAGTTTTCAATTAGCAATAATTATACCTTGGATAAATCTCACTGGCTACAATACTGCCACCACTCACAGCTAAGAGAATAGACTTGAATCAATGTTCTGCCACAACTCCATTGTGTAGTGGTACAAAAAATGATAGACTGTGATAGACAGGCAGGACTTTAGAAATCAGTCACTACAGCTTTTCTGGAGATGAGTGGAGACAAAGAGGATCCATGAAGGCCATGTTTATACACCACGGCTAGAATCTAATGCCTCTCAACTGGTTTGGGTTCCCTTCCATAGAACAACACTATTTCTTAAAATTATATGTTTTCTCTATTTTCCTGTTTCTTCATTTATGAAATGAATAGATTTGACACAGACTTTTGTGAGATTCCCAACCCTTACAGAATTCTTGGCATTTGTTCGCTTGTGCCACTAAATGTACATTAGGCAGTATCCACAGTATGTGCAGCTAAAAGTAAGGAAATTGAGATGGAATTCATGGTCAAGACGTAGGATGTACTTTTTTAATAACAATTTTTATCCTTTTTGGCAGATCCATTTATGTTCCACACCACAGTCTTCAGAATAAACATCTTTTTTTGTGATATAAACACAACTGTTTTCTTTAATAGCACCTAAAATGTTTAATCTGTGGAGCAAAAGAAAAGCCTCTCAGGGTTTAAGATTTTCTAATAATTATCCCTATTTAACCATTATTTCCTGGGTCTTTCAGGAAATAGTGGAAGGCTAAATTATTAATCATATTAAGTACGCAGCCAGAAATACAAGTGTAATGGTTTACACTT